GACCTTTACGAATGTCACAGACAATGAATTACCACTGTGAGATGCTCCCACAACCATTTCTGCTCCACATCAGTTTCAGACCCATGTCTGCGGTGATATGTTAGGACAGCAATGCTCGTGGAACATCATATACATTTCGCTGTTTGCAACACACAGCTGCCAGAAAAATAACATGTTACTGCCTCCTAATGATTTAGTGAACATTAGCCAAGGTCTTCTGGAGGTCTTTGGCATAGATGCAGCACATTAATGAGAATAGGGACATTAACACAAGACTCTAAACCACTTTGGACCATTTGTGCATGCTGAAACATGTATAATTCAAAATCAAGCTACAATGCGTTCTGCATATCTTGCCAATTACTGCTCTCACATAATGACGCTGAAATGACTTTGCTAAGGGGGTCTTGATAAAATAAAATAAAAAAAGATAAATGGCACACAAACATATGTAAACATATTTGCTTTCTGTCCCAAATACTTGCATGTTTATCCGTGTGGAAGACACAGCATAGGTACAGATAAATAGGTGGTGATTAACATGGCTTGAGAATGGGACCTCTGTGCCAACGAGAGAGGAGTAACAGTTGGCTCCGAACTTTATTTATTTTGCATGGTACCATGCTAATGGCTTTGAAAGGTTTAATGAGAAGAAAACGGAGGGGAAATGAACAAAGATGAGTTGCCTCAAGGAAATCATTACCACACATCATTACTCTTGACTACACACTGCAATGAAGACTGGATGCTGTGTGATGCTTACAATTCAGAAAGAAAGCATTTAACGGGAGTGTTTATTTAAATTTTTTACTGGTTAATTTTGATATGTACATCCCAGACATCCTGCAGTCGAACAAGGGACACGCATGTATGACCTTTAAAGGGGTGGAGCACACAGCCGGCCAACAACATGACTGCAGAGGGAGCTCCCAAATAAAGCTCCAAGAGGTCAGTGGGTGCAGGGGATGTCTGTCAGTTTAAAATTTTGCCATGATCTTTTTCCTCTTGAATCCAGTGCATCACATAAACAAACAGAAAGCTATCAGACAAAAAAAGACGACAATTTCCAACAGAGAGCGGGCAGTTTGGAGAGGAGGAGTTGAGAGCAGGAGACACAACTGAAAAGGTCTAATGGGATTCAATGCTGTCTTTTTTCCCTCTCTCTACTGGACAGCCCATGAGTAAAGAGTCAGAGGAGACAGAAGACAAAGGAGGATGGCATCTAACAATGTCCAAGACAGGACTTGTACCTTGGACATCGCTGGTAAATGGCATGCCCTTTAGTCAAGGAGCCACCAGAGAGCACCTTTACACCTTAAGACCTATTTATAATGCAACATCGTGACTGACTCCGGTGCATGAAAAAGTTGTTTTGATCTACAAGAATGGGTTTAAAGAAATACCTAACCTGCAAAATGACCATTTGTTTTTTAATTACTCACTGTGTGTTACCTTGAATTCATAAGCATGCCTCTGAGGTGAACGTAGAATCCAAGATTCTTAATGAATTAAAATCACTGGGGACCACATTTAACAGTAAAACTAGTAAAACACTCTTTTGCAAATTCTCACACAACTCATGCAGTAAAGTCCAAGTCTCATTTACCCAGTCGTATGCTAAGTAATTCCAGAACACATGCATTATGTGAAAAATGTAACAATATAAAACACTTCCACCTCCCTGAGTGTGCCTGAACACACAAATGTACACATGTGCCCAGGCATGCTACTTGGCCATGCATGAGACTTTTTGTACTGGCATGTATTTAATCATATTGTGTTGGCAAAAATGCATGTGTTTCAACAGAACTGCACGAGTTGTGTGAGAGTTTCTGTAGGGAGTTTTTGATACAGTTTTGCTGTTGTTTAACACGGGCCCTGTTTACTTCACTTCATGAAGAATGTTCGCCTGTTTTTGACTCTCCGTTCATAGTGAAGGCACGTGAGAAAAACCTAGATTTCTTCACAAGTTTACGATAACATGCAGTGAGTAAACAGTCATTTTGTGGATGAAGTATTGCTTTAATGTTGATGGGAATTGATTCAACAATTTTTGTTGATATAAATACAATACAAAAGGTAGTTTAGGGGTTTAAATCAATGTGACCAACATTACTAACAGTTTAAGACTAAAGGGACATTTCACCAGTTCCCACCATTTCTGTGAAAACAACTCAATGATGTCGTCTTTTTAAGAAGCTTTTGTGAAGTCTAAGAAAGTAACCCTGATGATGTCATGCTGATATCATCAGCATTACCTAAGCATTGTCTTGGACATTACACATTCCTAACATACAGCCTGTGTTACAAACTGGGGGCATGAAGTTAACCAAGAGTGGAGTGTCTTAACAAAGAGATGCTACTGAGGTGCATTATGGGAAGTGTAGGATCCAGCATTACAAGTGACTAAAAGTCAGGACGTCGCTCCTGTTTCAGTTTTGACCAGTCTCCGACAGTATGTTGTGCAAGTGCAGTAAAAAAGACTCCATTTCTGAATGCAATAATCTCTGCTCTTTGAAACACAGTCTTCAGTTTTGCTTCGCAGGATAAAACACCCCTTAAAGATGTCTCTTGCTTTATCTATAGATTAACAAGCCTGCTGATTCAAAATAAAAACTATCATGGCACTCAACCAACGCCTCCATAATATAAACAATTCCAAGATACTAGCCAGCGTCTACACACATGATGAGGAATAATACAAACTTTACTCAAAGTCTCATCTTGATAGTTTCCCATCATCTCTGAGCAGACACAGATGTAAACAGACGTATCATTTGTATTACTGGGTAGTATTATTATTTAAAAGAGGGTGCACTGGCCACAGGGCTGCAGCTCATGACTAATTTCATTACTGATGAATCAAACAATTAATATATTAGGTCCAACAACCAAAGTTACTCAGTTTACTTTCATATATGACAAAGAGAAGCAGCAAATCATCCTCCCATCTGAGAATCTGGAACAAGAGAATGTGCAGCATTGTTTTACTATTGTTGTTTAAAAATGACTGAAACAATTATTCCATTATCAAAATTATCAGATTATTTTTCTGTCAATGAACAAATCAATTAATTGACTAATCCTTTCAGCCCCACTGGGCTATTCAGTCACTTTTACTAGAGTGTTATTTACTCAGCATGAAAGTACAGGGGAAGTGAAGCAGAGTGATGGGAGAGAAAACTGATTCAATCCAAAACCACTAGGGGCAAATTTTAACTGCCTCAGAGCTGAACACTCATCTCTTCTACTCACAGTACACAAAGTGAAGACTATTCAGACCAAATCACCAGAAATTTCTCCATTGTGATGATCACTGAAAATTGCATAAACACAAAGCCAGAAAACACAGCTTAATTTTTCTGCTGATTGCAGTCACTCACATTGCTCATGTGCTGCAGTGGAAACTGTCTTCCTCCGTCATTTCTGGTGCCATCTCCCTCAAACAGAGCTGAGAGAATCAAGATGGTGAAACCACAGATGGAAGAAGCACCTGCTCTCCCCTTAAACAAACAACAATGCACACTTAAGCCAGCGAAACATGTCTACAGCGGTATTGATTTTGAAACACCTGCACGACTGACCAGTAGTAGCCATTTATATTACTTTTACCAACCTATTGACCTGCTGCCGCTCAAACTCTAGGGAAACAATCTGTTTGGGTGCTCCAGGAAACCCAAAGCAACAAAAAAAAATCCATTAGTGCTCATCCAGACAGGGGTATCCACTCGACTAGAGAAATGGGCTTATAATGTCAGCATCTGCCACGTCTGTCGCACATCCATCAGTCCCTCGCTCCATGTCTTCCCTCCCCATCAGTCCTCCTCTCTGACCCTGTGTGGGCCTTTCCTCACCCTCTCTGGGTCCAGTATATTTGTGTATTCAATCTTCCAAACTGAATTGCTCATCCTTTTTGGAATCAGACATGATGTGCACTGCCAGTCAGAGAGACTGAATCATCCAGTTTATGGAGAGAAGCTCAAATATAGTCAGGATCCTTTCTGCTTTATTGAAAACACTGGTCACTTATTATTCTTTCCGTAAATACATCATGAGCTCTGCCTGAGTCCCTAACTCTGCTCTGTGGTTGTTTCTATGTTTATATGTTAAAAGCTACAGTCTGATTTATCAGGATAAACCCTCAAGGACTAAAGAGTTTCAATGAAACATATTCAATTTGTTTCCACACTAGCTAAGCTGCCTTTATCCCAATTTCATCCCATTCCTGGACTGAATTTGGGATCACCTGGTGAGCAAAGACAGTGGACGACAGGTTGTGCGAGCTCCGGTTTTCTTTCTGCATTCAAGACACACTGCACAGTATGTGTGGCTCACAGTATGGACTCAATGACCCCCAACGTCATAGCTGCTCTAAACCACCCCTGCTCCCCTCTATTCGCACTAAGGCGTGCTTTAACCAAACAGCATACGGGACAGCCACATATTTATATGTATCTGTAGCCTGTGTGAGACTTAAAGTCAAAATGAAGGATTTTCTGTTGTATTCAGCTCCAAGGTCAAGCTATACTGACTGGTGATGAGTTACATTCTATATTTCATTTCAGTTTCAGGCAGATAGAGGAGTATCAAACATGCTGGTGCATCATCCCGAAAGAAAAAACATCATAATATCTTTACATTTAAGCAGCACTGTCTGTGATATGCAGTAGGATTTGCAGCTTTGTGATATGTGCACCCAATAAAGTCTCATATTTGCTCTGGAGCATGCAGGCTCCTTACTGACACGCTGACTTCAAAATAAAACGTCAGTTCAATATAGATATAGATAACATTTCAAGCCTTTGATTCATTGGAGGAGAGATTAAAGCCAGTCAGGTAGATAAATAACGTTTTCATCTCAGCAGCCTAATAAAAACTCTTTATTGATATTTCTTTAAGCATGTGGTGGGTGGTGAAGATCAACCTCCCAGTGAGTGATGTTCGTTTTGAGTGGCTGTCACGCCCGGAAAAAAACGGGGGGAAAAACACTGTTGACTAACCTTAATTTCACGTTCAATTCACAACCCCTCGACCCCTTTCTCGTTCAGGATGTAAGGTGGGATCCTGCGGCAGTTTATCGGACACCATCTGATGCTTTTTTCCTTTAAAACCCACATGTGATGATCCAGGCTCCCCTCATCCAGACGCCTGCCTCTCCCGCACCTCAAAGACGCGCCAACACATCCTCACCTGGCTGCGCACAAACACACACATCACCAGTGTATCCACAATCAGAGTAACTACCGCCCATTCACACACACACACACACACACACACAGACGCACGCACCACACAACCCTGCTATATTATCCGTAAACATGCAGATGTTTCCCATCATGGCCTCGCAGAACGAGGCTCCTGACACTGACACTGATGTGGTGTGGGCATTTGATTAATAACGCCGCGCTCCGGCATCACCAGTCAGCTGATGGAGGCTTGTTTTTTGGTGAAATATTTATAAGGTCTTGTCACGACTGAACTTAAACGCGGGCTGTGGGGTTGCTCTGCGCGGCGGCTCTTGCCATATCTTCCCGTCTCTTTTGTGTTTGGGGCTAAAATACAGGCCTTATATTCCCCGTCATGGGCTGTGAGGCTTCAAGGTTGAATAATTTGGCTTGTGAACACGCAGCGGCTCACTGTCAACCTTGTATTTCCTCATATTTACGCGTAAAATGCCATCGGGGCCCGTACTTCTCCTCCGCAATACAGCATCATATTCTCTGCTGCTAATTAGACAGACAGTGCATTTGGACTATGACAGCTGGCTATATAGGCTAGATGATGTAAGCAACTGATGCGGTGATTTATGGAGCAAAACATAATATGAACGAAGGTGCGATGCCTACCTTAGTAACTGGGTAGCCTATGGCTGGCGCAGAGGCAGACTATGCCGATATCCAGTTGCCCAGGCTCGTAAAAATCAGACAACAACAACACCACGCCGGTTGTTGATGACACAGCTGTCTTGGTAGACGGGAGGGGAGGAAAAAAATCCTTCCCCAGATGTGTCAATTGACGTGGAGATGAAAAATCAGTTATTCAGACGCATATCACCGGACTGACGCCTTTTCTTGACGTGAAAGGTCTTCCATTTTTATGATAAACAGCGCACTGTACTACCGAGGCTCGGTGTAGCCTGGCCGGTGTGAGATCTGATTGAAAACCATGATGCAATTCAATGCGACGTTACAAAATGTTCCTCTGCAAACAGTCAGGTAAAACGCCATCCTTATTGTGCGCGTCAAAAAAGCCTCCAGCGCGACCTCCGCAACAGAAACATGCTCTCAGTTTCAGGCATGAACAGAAAAAAAAATCCGTCAAAACAAAAATGCGCAGATGATCAGCGCGCTGTGCTGGTTCAAGCGCTGGGCATCCTCACTGTGTATTTGCATCCATATTAATATTCATACAGTACTTCCTGAGAGCAGACCAGTGGCTGTTTATAGAAAAAAAAGCATCCGAGGTCTTTGAGTCCAACTGCGACGGCAGGCTGTTATCTGCTGCCTGTTATCAGCAGACCGAAATGAAATTTCCCTTCACGACTCATATTTAGCAGAAGGATTCAGCTGCAGACTCAATAAATGTCCGGATGGATTCTTGATAAAGTAGCGGGCGATTTTTCCAATAATAAACCTCGACTTTATTATCATGATACACGAAAACAAAGCAAAACTGTCATATGGGAATAGGAGCGTTGTAGTGATGTAATGGGAGATAAAACACTATTAAGTATAAAATAAGCTCGTCATAAACCCACAGACATAAAGTAGGCTAAGCCGGCATAGGAATATTGGTGTGACATTTTGTTTGGACTCTATTTAGATAAGCAGTCATTTCAATTAAAGCCAGAGGGAGAAATAAAATCAGATCTGAATGAGAACATTGTGCAAACCCAGGATCTGTTAAAGAAAACACGCTCTTAATCCTGCATTTTATTCTATTTTAATCATTATTCTTTTTTGAGGTTAGGGAAATTGTATGTATAAATGTGGTGTTTTTGGGGGGAAGGTGTCACATGACCAGCTAGCCAACACATGCCCTGTGTGAGGCTGACACGCCCCCTAAAGTCTAAGGGAGACTGTAAAGGTGAGGACAAAAACTTTACGTTTTAAAGGTCCAGTGTGAAAGATTTAGGTGGAGATATAGGCGGTAATAGAATACAAAATAATAAGTATGTTTTCTTTAGTGTATAATCACCTGAAAATAAGCATCATGTCTTTGTTACCTTCAAATGAACTGTTTATATCTGCATAGGGAGCTGGTCCCTGTCCACCATGTTGCACTGCAATGTATCTATGGTAGCCCTGAATGGACAAACTAGACACATGCTCTAGATAGGGCCATATGCGTTTTCACATTCTGTACTTAGCAGCCCTTCTGCAACAAGCAGTGCCAAAAAACACAGTTCCTTTTTACATGAAACTGCTCTATTAAGTGTTTTTACTGGTTTAAATCACCTGGGTGGTAAGGTGAGCACACAGTAAGTTATCAGAGAATAAAGGTGAGCACACATAGGAACGTGCTGGGCTAGCCGAACGGCATCATAGACACGCTGATTTGTAACATGAAACTGCCTCATTTAATGGGAGAGGAGGAGACCTCTGTGGATAATTCAGTTCAAGGTAAAAACCTCCTGAACAATGAACAATGAAGGAACTCTAACTAGGAGAAGTTTCAGCTGGTTGCAATCCGTGAACCTCAGCACTAGATGCCACTAACTCTTGACTCCTTTAACAACCGAATAAAAGATTAGGAGTGGTCCCTCTAATCATGTAGGCTATCAGCTATCAGTCGAATCTTTGAACTGTCACTGCCATAATTAAAGCTGTGCAGCAATGTGCAGGGGTCAAAGTATGTCTGTGAGGGGTCATCTCAACTAGCCAGTGAGAAAGAAAATCCACACTTAAATATTTCAGTGATTGATTCAACTGTCTTCAGACAATGGTCAAAGCCATTTACAGCTGATAGCTGAATATCTTTGCAGTGGTGGAAGAAGTACGCAGATATTTTACTGAAGTAAAAGCAGCACCACCACAGTGTAGAAATGCTCTTACAGGTTCAAGATTTTACTTTGGTAAAAGTACAAAAGCACTCGCATCAAAATATATTTTAAGTACCAAAAGTAGAAGTAGGTTACTTATTCTGCAGAATGGGCCATTTCAGAATAGTCTTTATTATATTACTGAATTAGGGTGGCACGGTGGTACAGTGGTTAGCACTGTCGCCTCACAGCAAGAGGGTTCCTGGTTGGATCGCAGGTGGGGGAGCCCTTCTGTGCGGAGTTTGCATGTTCTCCCTGTGTCAGCGTGGGTTTCCTCCAGGTGCTCCAGCTTCCTCCCACAGTCCAAAGACATGCAGGTTAATTGGTGCCCCCCCCCCCCCCCCCCCCCGGGACGCTCAAGAGAATAAGCAGTTAGAAAATGGATGAATGGACATTACTGAATTATAATTACAATAACTTAATTTGTGCATTGCTTTATGTTGCTGCTAAAGATGTACTATATATATATCACTATATATACTGTGTGGTGGCTTGTGAATTTCACCAAGGGATCAGTTTCCATAATAATATATCATCATTTATTTGATTATATTTTGTCCACACACACAGGTGCTGTCATTTAAATAGCCAGATTAGACACCTGCTCAGGACTGTGTGGACATGCACCACCTACACTTGACTGACATCCCCCTTACCGTGCTGTTCGTTTTGTTAACACTCTCATTGGTTCACAGTGTTTGGTGACATCACATAACTCCCAGCAAAGCTTCACCTAACTTCAACCTGAATGAGGTCTAATCAGCCGGGGCAATTGAAAAACACCTGTGGGCAGCAGTGGCGCCCCCAGAATTTTTCATAGGGGTGGGCAGATGGGGCCACTGAAAATCTTGGGGTGCACACCAAAACTAAAAGCCATAACTGAATTTCAGGAATTGTATAATGTTGTTGTAGTATACATATAGGTTAGTTGAAAACTATGTCAATATGATAAAAAAAAATTTCACAGTGATATACTCTGGATTCTTCCTTTACAGTTAAAGGCACTATGTGTAACAATTTCAAAATGTGTCAGACAAACACATTTTGCAGTCAAAAGTGTGTCCTAGCACATGTGTGTTTACCTCCATCAGCGTATCTAAATATGTCTGTAAGCTCCAAAGTTCCCATTTACATATACATTGCGACCGGTGTCTCATCGTGTACGTGCGGCATCTTGAAAATACAGGTACGTACAGGGACATACTTGAGAAATACGGAATCGCCATTCGTGTTTTCACTTGTTGGTTTCCGGTTTCCGCCTGCCGGTAGACTGACGAAAAACAGCAGCAAGCAGGCTAGTCACAAGTGCCAGTGCATTTGAAAAAAGGCAAAAAGGCAATGTGACTGGCGATTTCAAAAAATGAGGGTCAACATCGGGGTAGCCTTTCCCAGGTGGAGAGAGCTGCTGAAGGAGAATCACAGCTAACAGCGGCTAACAGCTGTTAGCGACCAGCGCCGCTAACAGCTGTTAGCGACGCAGTGTTGCAAGGAGAGGGATGAGGTGTGTGAGGTTGAGCCACTTGTCAGTTGTCAAAAGACAAGACGTGATTGGTTTGTTTCGATTTACACCCGCCCCAACAGTCCTACGTTGTAAACACAGCCAGCATGGTGAGGAGGGGGTTTGTCAACTTGCGTTGCGTGTGTCTGTGTAGCAGTCTGAATGAATACTCCATGAAGTATCGGATGATGTGGTTTCATCAGTGTTATCATAGCTTTTTGGAACACAGCAGCTACCGTTGTTGCAATACGCGTTTGAAACAGTGAGGCGCTAGAGTGCGCTATCCATTTCAATGCAATATACGATCTCAACACTAGATGGGAGAAATTCCTACACAGTGCCTGTTTAATGTTACTTATTATCTGATGTGCCGATGTCAAAAATGTACTAGTACCAGTACATTTAACATTGAGTTCCACAGAAACCCTGTGATATTTATCTGCATGTTTTACGAGATTCAAAGAGGCTGGTTGTCCTTTTCTTTAAAGGCATACTATGCAAGATTTTCCTGGAAACCAATGTCTAGACTCCCTCCCAGTCATCACTTATGACTCACTGGTGGTTTGCTGCTACATTAATGCTCTGAATGTTGCATAAAGACACTTAAACAAACGCTTCTTTAAGTTCCCTATAAGCCCCGTCAGTGAGCATGTGCTGCTGTTTTCTCACTTAATTTTACATTGAAAGCTCCTTTGGTATCAGAGTGCAGAATCTCTTCGCTTTGAGAAAGACTTGTATTATGAAACACCTGCAGGAAGTGTTGAGTTTCACTAACAGTAGCTTAACAAAGGGGAGGGCACGTAGAACTGATACAAATGCTTCAGTGAGCAAGAGCAATATTTCTGTTACAGTAACTGTGGTAAAAGAGAAATTTGTGTCCGTTCATGAGGAGATAAATAGAGAGGTCTACTTTTTACATTTGCATGTTTGTATTATTAGGCTGAATAATACCATCAGGACACATCGACACACAGTGTTTTTGGCCACTAGAGCGACCAAAGGCAGAAGAGACACACAACAACAACCCAATCATGAAATCATTGCATGTCCTGCAGGAGACACTACTCAGATCTAGCACACAAAGTATCCAACAATAAAACTTTGTCATGTTTATCTCTGAAATTGCTTTGTTGTATGTCAAAGTATCGGGGGAGTGGAGTTGTTATCAGCAGCCTGACATGATCTGGTCAAAGTGCGTCCTGTGTGTTGTGCTTTTTCTCCACTGGTGAATCCGCATCCATTCAAATTAATTCTGAACTCTGTTAAGGTAAGTGTTATGTTTTATACTTAGTAGTGTGATCATACAAGTTGTGTCATGTCGTCTTGATGACAAAGATGCAAAGATGTTCTGTGATAGCAAAGATGTTCTGTGATAGTCAAGCTTGGCTGAGAAGTTTATTTGTGAGCTCACCTGTCAGCTTATCCATGAGTAAGTTATTTCATCATGCTGCTGTCTGCATTGAAAGTTTTTAAGCATATGATTTCCCTGAAGGAAGATTAAGAGCCTCGTTACTGTTGCAATCAGACCTCTATCATAAAGACGGCTATCATAAATGTAATTATTATCTCAGATAAAGCAACGTTTGTCATTTCTTCAGGCATTAAGTGTATGATTTATACACCCATGACCTTTACTGAATGCAAGTACAGTTTAAAATGTTAGTGATTGCTGAAAATTGATGGTATGGCCTCCAGGTTGCATGAATGACTAAAGAAAAAACTCAGTGGAAGGAGTTTCTAGAGGTAATAAGTACTCTGCAATGGGTGCTGTCCTTTCTCTTCTTAGGTAAGATCCCACTGCATTAAACCTTTCTGAGTTTGTTTAACATGGCACTTGAAAGTCTTGTCAAAGGATAATTTTTGCCATTGTTACATTAGCTCACTTGTTAATTCACAACCTTGTCACTGCATCTGTAAAACAACACTCATTCATTTTTATCTGAGCTAATCTATTCCACCTCTCTGGTATTGTCCGATGTGGCACGATGCAACTCCAGGAGTGGCCTGCATTATCTTGATGGTGTACCTGATGTTTACCTCACTGTGGCCGCTGCCCACTCTGTACTTCATATGGCTGGTGATGGACTGGCAAACCCCTGAAAGAGGTAAAGGAGATGACATCATTCAAATATCTACTCAAATAGAAGAACTGTACACATCATCTGTGTCTCAGTTCTATATTACAAGCTGGCTCTGTAGTGGAGGAGTGACAAAATAAAGTTTACTGAGTCTGTAGAATAATTTTTTTTTCTGTGTGTTGTTGGTGGACTATTTTCCCATGATGCATTCCACAAAGAAATTGAGGAGTTACGCACAGTAGGAGATCATTAAAGGATAACTTTGGTATTTTTCAACCTGGGCTCTATTTCCCCATGTGTATGTGTGCGTATGATTCATAGGTACAACTCGTTCTAAAATTGGTTCAGTACTGAGGGAGGCGGATGCAGCCTGCAGCTGCGAAACGAGCTAAAACGGTAACGGGGGCAAATGCGTCCCGTATAAGTTTGCACATTAAAAGTGCTTTTTTTCGCCGCAGACCGGTTCAGATCGCCAGTGCTATCTCTGTAAATAGCATAGTAAGGTTGGAAAATCTCTGTAGTCATGTCTAGTAAATGCGAATGTGGGCATAAAAGAATTACTATATCTAAATATACCAAAGCATAATTTATTGTTTACATTTCACACACTTTGGAGACACGTTCAAACAGACAACTGCATCTTCCTCTATCGATTATATCGTATAATTATGAATTTCTACTGCTGAAAAGGAAAATAATCGAACATTGTTTATATAACATTACTTCCACTGTGTCTGTAGCTCTCTCTACTCGTGAGACAGCCGTTTTCTTGAGGAAGAGGTGTTTCGGGATTGGATGTCTTCTCTTCGGCTGGCAGTAGTCATCTTGGGAGAAGTGAGCACTGCAGACCCGATGGTCTGCAAGGCGCAGTGTCTGGAGAGGAGTGTTAGCATCCATTTGTAGCACAACTAGCCACAACTTCAGCATCTCTTGCAATTCAGATAAGCACAAACACGAACCATTGTTTTCAATCGATGCAGTAAAACTCTCAGCTGTACTCCGGGACAACCAGCGCCACTCTGAGCGGCGCTCAGCATGGCTCCTCTGTTTTCTTCCAGCAACAAGCAAGGTCAGTGGTGACAAAAAGCACTTTTAATGCGCAAACTTATACGGGACGCATTTGCCCCCATATCTACCGTTTTAGCTCGTTTCGCGGCTGCATCCACCTCCCTCAATACTGAACCAATTTTAAAGCGAGTTGTACCTATGAATCATATGCACACATACACATGGGGAAATAGAGCCCAGGTTGAAAAATACCAAAGAGAGAGAGACGCAAATACTTTTGAAACTGGTGCTACATGTCCAGAGAAAACGGAGGAAACAGGGCTGTATTATTGTTCGCAGTCATCCAGGTCATGGTAATCGTAAGTGCCAATAGCGCAGGCAACTGGACTTGTACTTCGTACCAGTCATTTAGAACTGAAGAAGCTTCTTGAATGAGAGGCGAAATGTCTTCAAGAAATGCAAGCAAGTCCAGTTGCCTACGCTATTAGCACTTACAGGCTGTATTATTCGCTTTACCCAACTGATAAACACCCCCACTGGTGGGTGATGCAATGTGAGCTTGTCCGTTTTGACACAGGAAACAATATGGCAGCCAGCTGGTTACAGACAATCTTTGATTATGGTTAAAACAGTAAGCTAAAATATGTTTATCAGCACATTTGAGATGAGAAATAGGCAATACAGTTAACAGAATCTTAGTTAATATTTTATCAGCACTGGCTAATTTTTTATCTCAGTTTTTTCAGCCTCCATTTTTATATACAGGAAATAGCATGGTGCCCACTTCTTGTTCATTAATTCTCGTATTACAGACAAACAGTGCACTAAAGCATGTTTCTGGATTCATTTTAGGTGAGAGATAGACAGGACAATGACAGAATCTTGGTTTATATTTGATCAGCACCGCCTAGTTTCACAGTTTGATGTGATCTCGCCTCCATTTTTATATACAGGAAATAGCATGGTGCCCACTTCTTGTTCATTAATTCTCGTATTACAGACAAACAGTGCACTAAAGCATGTTTCTGGATTCATTTTAGGTGAGAGATAGACAGGACAATGACAGAATCTTGGTTTATATTTGATCAGCACCACCTAGTTTCACAGTTTGATGTGAGTTTTGGCTATCTCCCTCTGTATCCACTTTTATACTCTTTGTTTCTTTGGTGGTGGGGATACGGTAATGCGGGAGTACAATCTGTAGTTTGAGCAAAAGCCCTAGAGCCAGCAAAAATCCAATGCTAAAGTGTCATCTGAGCTGGATTGGGTGCTCGTAAGATGGAGAGAAACTTTCCACAGTTTACTTACACATACTCTCAGACAAAGCTGTTTAAAAATCGGCAAAGTATCCCTTTAAAACTGATCCTGTATGATGGCAAACCAGTTGTGAACAACCCAAAAACAGTTTGATGACATAACTATGTCATGCAACAATGGTCCCATTGCTGGAATCAAACCCAGAACATTGCTGTAATGTGGCATGCCCTGTAACCCCTCGGCTACTGCGGTGTTCCATGCACAATTAATTTTGTTGATGTTTTCAGCTGTGGGTTGTTTCTCAAATTCCTTTGTGCGTTGCATTGTGGGAGAACGTACCCATCAACACGCTCCTGTACTCTTAGATCCTCTGATCACATCACCATCTGCCCGCTTGACTATCATGGGTTCTAGAGCCTTCAGCCGTTCTGCCCTCTGCCTTTGAAACTTTCTCCCACATGACATTGTTGTCTTGTTGAATTGGTCACTGCTTTGTATTTCTTTTTTTTATACTAACTACAAAAAGAGTATTGCATGAAACTGGGTAACACTCAGTGATTCTAAGATTTCTAATGTCTCCATCAGGGGGCAGGAGAACAACATTTGTGAGGAAGTGGAGGGTGTGGGAGCACATGAGAGATTATTTTCCAGTCAAAGTAAGTTTCACTCTGTATCTTTTGGTGGGAACACATAGACGTGACTGATTCGATGTGGCTGGTCAGCAGCATAACAATTTTGAAACAAAAAGTAACCATGGAATTATCTGCAGTGAGTCTTTATTGTGGCAGATTTACATATATTGCAATTAATTTAAGATTTTTTTTTAAAAAAAAAAACCTTTTGAAATCTTTCATTTGATGACATAATAAACTGTATAATGAACGTGGGTTTGGTTTTCTGGCTATCAGCAGAGATTGACTGTGGTGGACTCTGTTAATCCTTCATATTCTTGCTCAGCTGGTGAAGACAGCCGAGCTAAATCCAAACAGAAACTACATCTTAGGTTGCCACCCGCATGGTATCATGTGTGTCGGAGCCTTTACCTGCTTCAGCACAGAGAGCTGTGGCTTCACTGAGGTGTTTCCTGGAGTGCGAGCCACTCTGGCAATGCTTGCGGGACTTTTCAGGATACCACTCTTTAGGGAGTACGCGATGAGTGCAGGTATTTATAACAATATTCAACTAAAGTGCTGAACTACTGACATCAATCATATTGACCACGTAAAGGGGAACTATGCCTGTTTTCAAATTCTTGCATGTTATTCCCATGGTCTTGGACAGTCCACAAATATTAATGAACATGAAAAAGTCTCCCAAAGACAAGTGCTGAAACTCAAATTTGTGATATGATAGAGTATAAAGTCTGGAGCTGATCTATTGACAATGAATTGGGAGAGATGCTATAGATGACACTGCGAGCATCCAGGGGAATGTTTTGAGTATATGGGTACGTTTACTGTTTAATCTCTGAGGAAACTGCGATAGAATAAAGCTTAATTGGGTATAAAATCAAAACAAATATTCTGTGGAACACAAAACCAGTCTCCCATTCATTGTCTATGAAGCAGCAGCAGCATGAAGTTTGAGACGTACTGGTTTCTGGCTTTGAGATAGAGTAGCTCATGTTCCCAAATATTGATTGAACTTTCTAAGGCCATGGAAATAACATTAAAATTCCTACTTTAGGTGGTGTTTCCCTTTAAACCTTCCTGAAGTACAACTGTGACTGCAAATAGAAGAAAAACATGTGATTGTTCCTGTCTTACTTTGTCTGATCAGGTCTTTCTCCAGTCAGCAAACCAAGCCTTGTCCACCTCCTCTCAAAAAGCGGCAAGGGAAATGCAGTGGTGATTATGATAGGTGGTGCTGCTGAGTCTCTGGCATCCTCTCCTGGAAGCCACACGGTGGTCGTGAGACACAGAAAGGGATTTGTCAGGATGGCCCTGGAGTTTGGGTGAGAGCACTCTTCAAAACATGCAGGAACAATCATCATTGAATATCATTAAGTGTAGCCAGCAGCCCACAGCTGGACACACTGATGTAACCTCTGATGATCTTCCACAGGGCTGATCTGGTACCTGTTTACTCATTTGGGGAGAACGAGCTCTTCCGGCAGGTGATTCTCTCAGAAGGCAGTCTTGGTCGGAGGTTACAGGACCTGTTTAAAAAGATTATGGGTTTCGCCCCGTGTCTATTTGTTGGTGAACACATGGCATTCCTGCCCTACAAGAGTCCGATCACTACTGTTGGTGAGTGTTTCGTTACTCTGTAGAAAAGGCCTAGCTTCCTACAATGAGCCTGTTTAATGCTCTGCTTCTTTCAGTGGGAAGTCCACTGTCAGTGCCAAGGCGTGTCACACCTACTGAGGAGGAGGTCGACCACTATCATGGACTGTACATGGAGGCTCTGTCCAAGTTATTCCATGAGCACAAGGTCAGCTGTGGACTCTCTGAAAGTCACAAGCTTGAGATCATTTAGACATTTCACTTCCACATGAACTGTGAAGCAGTTTTTATTTGCTCTTTTTGATGGTGCTCACCCTAAATAAGGGTGCAGCTCTGATGTGATGAACCTGACCTCAAACAATAGATTGATCCTGCAGGTTTCTTTCTTTTTTAACATTAACGCGTGCCTTACATAATGACTAAGATGTGATGACCAGTATGTGGGAAAGTGTGTTCACGTTTGTCATATTTGAACGATTACTGCATTTCTAGTGTGAATACACAGTAACAGCAAATGTCTGATGGGAGGAAAACATGCATGAAATAAGTTATTGCATATGTGAAAATGTGTTTGCATGCTTGCTAAAAGAAATCTCACCAGTGCATTTTCATGAATTGTGTAAATGAGATCCAACAATGACACTGTGCTGCAGCTCTTACCTGTGATTTACAGTACAACCAGGACCAACTTCAGAATGACAGCGCTTACGTTTCATTTGTAACTGGAATATTTGTACATGGTGGTGTTGCTATTTCTGCTAAGAACAATGTTGAATATTTCTTGCACCACTGCAAAGGTTCTTCAGTTTTCTATTTGGCAGCTGTTGCAAATGAAAAGGCCAGCAGCATGTACATGTAATTCAACGGTTTACCCAGAAGAGGGCAGCCATTCATTACATCTGCTTCACTTCCTTTTTCTACAAGGGCTGGGAGTCTCAGAGCATGTGCCACAGAAAAAAACAAAACTACATCTTATTGAAAATGAAAATAAACTCCAAAAATTAACAGCCCCTCTACGTTATCCCTGTATTCAATGCTCATCTTGATTTTAAATGCAGATGTCATACATGTTCTGTTCATTAGTATCTTGTCCTTTTAAGTCTGACTGGCTGCTTTTGCTGTTATCTGGTTGCTCTGATCCGCGCATTTTTTATTTCAGAGTTTCTACACATTTTTCATTTCAAAATTCCAGACTTTTCCACACTCAAATTTCTAGACTTCTTTGTAGATTTTTCAGACCATATCTAGACTCACAAGTCAGTCTATAGAAGCCGGAGATCTCTGATTGTCTGGTGGCGAGACTAGACCATATCTGACATCTGAGCACAAATAGCTAGATGTTTATTAAGTAAATAAGTGGATTTAAATCCATCTGTTGATATGCACACTTCATTTCAGCTATGTTTGCTATTATGTTATTATCACTGCCAGAAGATTGTAGCTTGGTTCTGTAGCTCCTTCAAATCAATTTACACTATACTGATAAATACTATTATATAATTGTCCCCCCATATGTTTCAGTCCCTTTTATTAAATAAGAACTGAAAGAGTTTGAAAAAAAGGTAATTTAATTTTCAGAGTGTCTGTGCAGCCTGTTTTATTCAGCAATAAATGCAGCCATAAAGGTATCCATACGCAGTCTGTATATTTTTCTGACTGCTACATTACTGTGTATCCCTTAAATGTTCAGACAAGCTTAATATTTTTTTCGTACTTGTGACGCTATTCAAAGATATTGCAGTATTTTCTTTCAAACTAATTTGATTGCGGATATCCAAATTTGGTTCAGTTATGAGGCACTTAGGGTAGAGCTGTGCTGCAGGCTGTGACGTACATGTACAGGTGTACAGACAGCTCTGTGCAGGAGTGTGTCGGCAAATTATTTCCATACTTTATTTTCTTTTTCCCATATTTATCCAGACCCCCAAATGGCTAAAATCCAATTCCATACTGCCTAGGGACCCTGTTATTTGATGAATCATTAAAAACATATTAATATTGTTTGATCACAACTTTATTGAGGAACCAGTTTACAGCAGACATTTGTTCTTGTTGCACAACATTTACAAAATGAAATATTTAGGAAAAGAAAGAACCTAATCACTACAAAAAGCAACAAGAGCACAACACTTCTAAAGAGTGAAGACTGAAAGGAGCGAGTGAACCTTCTAAAAGAAGTCCATATCATCTGGTGCATCCAGGTCACGGTATTCGATGATGTTGCGTGGATCGCCGCGTGACATTCTGAGTTGGTTGAGGGTGCAAGGAGAAAGACAAAGACCCAAAAGGAAGAACAGAAACAACCATAAAAAAAGGAGGTTCAAAATAAGCCAGTGGCAGAAAAGGTGGACGGCTCATTGCAAAATAAAAATCACACGTACAGTGGTCTCACCTGAGGTTGCGTGGCTTTCCCAGGTAGCCACCTTGTCCGCGGAAGTTGTCGTAGTTGCCTCTGCCTCCTCCATATTGGTTGGGAGGGTAAGGAGGTCCACCTGCTGAAAAGGACGACTCAGAATCAACTCAACACTAGAGGTCTGACTGACAAACACATTTCCACTAAACTAAAAACAGTGAAGTTGGATAACATACCACCGTAGCCCATCAGTGGTGGACGAGGCTGTCCAAAGGCCATTGGACCCTGAGGACCTTGAGGAGGAAATGGCATGGTGGGGGACAGCAAACCTATAGGACAAAACCAATGAGAGAAGGAGTTCGTATTGTTGTAGATCAAACATGATTCATTATTTAACTCCTGGTGCACTGCAGTAAACTGATTCACTTATTCAGTCTGTCTTTGTTGAAGTACTAAAAACCTTTAATTATGAATATCTGAGTCGTTAAGATAGAAATGTTGTGACCTGGGCCTGGAAGAGGAGGAAGTTTCATCTCTGGAAGCGACGGTCTCTTGGCATCCATCAGAAAATTGTTAAAGAACACTACTTCCTTTTTCACTTCTTCAATTTTGTCCCCGTGTTTGTTCAGGATGTGCTTCCGCACAAACTCTGGGCCCTTGAAATTGATTTAAAATGAACACTCTTAAGCGTAACAGCAAGAAATAAGTAACAAAACAGTGAATGACAATGCAAGAAATGTGTGCAACAGCTAATGGTTTTGCAACCTAAGAATCACAACACCTCAACATGTTTGACAAACACTCACCTTGAATTTCTTGCCACTCAGTGGGCAGAGCCATTTGTCCTTCCCCAGCTCTTGAGTGTTGGCATTTACAAACTTTTCCACCTCCTCCTCGGGATCCTTGCGACCCATTTTCCTCGCCTCCTCCTCAGACAGGATTTCTTTTAAGCTAAACAAAGGACTCAGCTTCTCCTCCATCATCTTCTGCCATTGTTGCACTGTAGCAGAAAAAACGTGACAGATGTGAAATAGATTATAAGAATGGTTAAAAGATATGAAAAGATTAAGCACTCAATAGGGGCCTAAACTCACTGTGTCCCCAGTGTGTCAATATACCAATGTATTTTTCCACATATTTTTTAGTTAAATACTACAACTTTGAAATCTACATTAAAAATACATAATGTGTGTTGTTAAGTGTAGCATACATTACAAACATCTAGAATGTTTTAGTGTTAAGTTGTTTAGAAACTGCAGCAAAATGGAATGAGAGCCTGTGGGCAAAACAGTGTGACAGAAAACTATAGTCCAAACACAGCTAATTATAATAATACAACAATTAAAATTCAACTTTCAACTTCAGCACACAAAGCTTAACAGGAGCACACACTTCTGCATGTACTTACTTTCTCTCTTCCTGCTACATTCATCCATGTTACATAACAACAACAAGAGAAGCACACTGACCTTCTCCATGTGTGATGCGGTTCGGAGGGATGGGTCCACGAACGTGGATCATGCCACAGCGATTGGGCATCTCATCCTCACTGGGGTATTCACAGGTGTTGTAGTAGTCGATTGAATGCACGATACGCAGATACAAGATCAGACGATCCAAAACCTGGAACGAGGGAAATGGCAAAGAATTTTTACTTGATTCGCTATTTTAGCCAGTTGTAGCCATCTGAATAGCCAACAAGAATACAAGTAACAAAATTAATCTGCTTTAAGAGAGGGCAGAGAATAAACAGATGAAATAAAACTGCGATATTCAAACCTTGGCTAGTTTGTCATCCCTCTCCACAGTCGTCTCTGCAGGGTTTCCTTCCTTAGTGTTCTCCTCAGGATCCATCCCACTCCCGGAGCCCAGGAGCTCCTCCTCCTCAGCACTCACCTCCTCTATCAGGTAATCTGTGATATTCTTCAAGATGGGGTTCTGCGCCGGCAACTTTTGAAATCACAAACCACACATATATTAATAACTAAGTTACAGCAAGATCATCTGAGACTTTTGATTGCGGGGCTGTACCTCTGTAGTCTCTTCCTGGGACTTGCTGCTCCACAGGTCTCCTTTATCATCCAAGGCATGAATGAGCTTGGCAGCCAGCTTGATGTCGTTGCGGAGCACCTGCTTATGCTGAGTGATGCCATTAATATTACGCACCCTCCGGGCCAGGTCCCTATTTACCCCTGGAGCCAGTTCACAGTCTCGCAGCTGTGAAAGGTAAGAGAGTAAAACAGGAGTTTTAACGGCCTCAAGTGCTATTTAGGAGATTACACAAGTAACTAGAGACCATCTGGCGATGGGATCACACAGGCCGCCACGCCAATCCACACACTATGCTGCATATTAAAATCAACTGAAAACAGTAGTAACAATCAACAGCTGAGACTGGCACACTTACACGAATATTCTGAAGGTTCCAGCAAACCTCTTTGATGTTGACGCTACGGTCAAAAGTCACCCAGCAACGTCTAAAAAACCTGTAACAGCAGAGGGTTGATTTAACCATTATTGTGTAATTGTGTGTAGTCTCTTGCTTCACACAATGTTTGACTAAGTAAATCAAACAAACATCATTTTCAAAGTAAGACATTAAAATCATGTTTTGTTAAACCAACCTGCGCTCTGGATGGGGGTCAGACAAGCAAACACGCAGAAAGCCAGGGTATCGCCGGCAAAGCTGAGAGAGAAAAAAGAGATAAAGTTTAAACAAAGCCCCGAATTATTTAGTGACCTCAGTAATTCTACATTTCGCCGGCCATTCACACTGCCACCTGTGTTATACTCACAGCAATAATCTCAGCTTTGGAAATGGTCGGGGCGATGCTCCTCATGAACAGAGAGCAGGTTCTGTGGAGAGGACGCGGTCTGGGAGAGTCATCTTTGGGTTTCTTCTCTTCTGTGTTCTCCTCTCCAGCATTCTCCTTTGGTTTCTCCTCTTTATCATTAAATGTGATAGAGCAAATTGGTGGCAACAACTATGAGTTATCAGTACTGGGTATGTAGACACCATATACTAGGCGCTATGAATTTGATTCCTCACCTTCACCCTCCTCTTCCTCTTCCTCATCTTTGTCTTCTACCTCTTCCTTCTTCACAGGTTTGTCAGAGCAGTTGGAATTTGAGTCAGAGTCTGAATCGCTGTCGCTCTCTGAGGCGCTGCCTTCATCATCGCTGTCTCCGCTGCGCTTCCTCTTTCTTCTCGGCTGATGAATGAAGATGAGAACAATTCAGGCTATTTGGTTAATTTCGGTCTCTCGTTAGCAAATACTTTCAATAATGGAAGCAATACTAACTTTCTTGGGTTCAGGCGTTCCTTCTTTGGCAGCTTCTTTCTCTGCCTCATCTTTCACATCCTCCCCTTCTGTTGCAGCAGCTCTTTCTGTGCTGGCAGAGTCACTCTCCTCCTGTGGCACAGTTTATTATCATCATCATCATCATCATCATCACAGCACTGTGAAATCTACTGCTTGGTGAAGACTGACAGAGAACAAAACATACCTTATCATTTTTGTCTTTCTCTACTGACGGTTTGCGGTCTCCGTCCAAAGTTTTGAGGTCTTCTCTCTTCGGAGGTTCAGGGCCCCCTGAAACAGATGCCGACTTCTCCCTTTCTTCCTCCTCTTCAGATGGCAGGTCCAAGATGCGAAG